TACTATTCAAAGATATAGAAAAAAATTCTTTAAATCAACACAATCCTTTATCATAGACGGACGAGATCTTTTTTTATAGTTTTTTAAAATAAAAGATAAAAATAAAGAATAATATAGCAGAAAAATAAAATTTTTTTTTGGACAAATAAGCAGAAAAAGTAGATATTATAAGAAAACATGCGTGTTGATTAGGTGTATATAATAATTACGTGACTTTATAACTGTCTCTCTAACATATATTTTCTTTCTCAAACTTTATTTCTTTGTGTATTCACTTACCTAGACAATGTTGTGAAAAGATACGTAACTGAGAATAAGAATTTTGATGACCGAGCTTCAAGATTTGTACACTTTGTCGAAAGTTATCGAGCATACTGGTGCAGCAAAGTTGAAAAGTCGACAAAGTTGTCGCATAAAAATCAAGGGATTTGTAACAATAAACCTCTAATAACCGGCTGTATCGTTGACATTTGATTGAACCAAAACTTTTGATTGCTTCGACATTAGTCAAATGCTTCCAAATAATTAAAACAATCTCGTTGGGTAAAGAAGTGAAATGAGTTGGTACTATGTATGTACTATTCATTATAAGTCAAAGTAAATTTAATACTCAACAAAATAATATTGCCGCATAACAACGAACAGAGAGAGAGTACATTGTTCATTATGAGTAAACAAAGAGACTTCCCAATATGCTAATTGTGTTTTGAATTAATTCAATTGATAAGGAAGGTTCTAGTAATTAACAGGAAGATCAAGATAAAGAATCTTAGTTGATCTTCAATCTCCATTTATGATTTATTTTTACTCCATTTTTTTGCAATAGAGGGCGATATTTGCCAAACACAACGATCATGTTTCAAGTAATTGTGCTAATATAATTTCGAAATTATATAACTGAATATGAATTAATTTTATATTATAAGTTAATTTTTCAACTTTCACATGATACTTCAAGTATGTTTTTATTGACATTCGTTCCAGTACTTACAATTCTACATCGAATGATTCAACGAAAACAATATCGCACATCACTGATAATATTGCCAAAAGGACATGAGATTAGTTTTATATGTATACAAAGCCTTAAACAAAAATCTAAGTCAATGAATTGAGACGTGACTTGAATCTATGTATTTCTTATTGGCGACTTGGTTTATGTCGAAAAACAAAATTAGCGAATTTGTTAGTCTTTATTTTGCTATTTAACTCAAACAATGTAATCATTTGAATGGAATAATTGTGAAATCCTCGTTATAAAATCCATCGATTTGAAGGAATTTATACATAGTATCGATAAGCACCTGTAATTTAATGGCAGAATCCTCGTTTTCCATACGAGCCACTCGGGTTCGACTCCCGACGGGTGCATTCATTCTTTTTTTTTGTTACTCATATTATATTCTTTTTTATTCAAACATTACTTTCATTTATTGATCAGAACGAAAAGAAATATATTTTATGTTTTTTATGGATGATGCAATATAAATATAAGATGAATCATCCATTCATGTCAAGTTTTGACTACCTTTTTTTTCTAAAACGGACGTAATACATAAATATACAGGGAAATATATTCTGGTGAAAAAATAGAATCAATTGTTTCACTTCTTGACAAAGATATTATTAAATATTTTAATGACATAAAAACGGAATTTCTTCATTTTAATTTGAAATTCATTTTTCCTATTAGAACAAGCTGCAGTTTAATACAATAGTGAATAAAAGTTAGGATCAAAACTTTTCTATTATATTTTCATCATTCAGTATTTCGGAAAGTACTTTACACGCAATAAAAGCCAGCAAAACAACTGTAACTCTCAAGAGGAAACCTATAGACGTTTATTCTTGAAGGCGCCTTATAGTTTCATTTACTTACACCCATAGGCAAAATATGAGATCCGAAGCATTACATTACTTTGGACAGTTTTGTCATAAGTCTCCGCTATTTTTCATCGTATGACGGCCAATCAAACTGTTATTCAACAAAAATGATATTATTCGGAGCGTGTCTACGTGTTTGATAGATTTAGTTACGAATTCTATCAACTTTAACACATTTAGATAATTTGAGAAGAGAATCAAAGGCATTGACCATTGCCTCATGTCTATCACTATTGTGTCATTCTTAATAATTTTCAAAGTTTTTATGTTGTTGGCTTTGTTTTTTGTAAAATCATCGGGCCGTATAACAAAAGTAGGGTGTGGGTGGGTGTGGGTGAGGGTGTAGGCGTGGGTGTGGGTGTGTGGGTGGGTATGTGTGTGAATGTGGGTGGGTATGGGTGTGGATGGTGTGGTTGTGGGTGGGTGTGGAGGTGGATGTCCATGTCAGTCTTCTCTTTACCCACACCCATCCACACACACCCACGCTCACACCCACACCCACGTCCACACCCACGTCCACATCGTTGCATCGTAAATAATTGATGCTGGCTTTGAGTATGATGTTGTTTTCATCTATCAAATTGATCTCGTTCAATATTTAATAAGACTTACGATTTCTGTAGTTGCATGCTTAGATAAGTTACGACCAACAAAATAAGAAAGAAAAACGATAAAAACACTTATTACCTGTAGCTAGCGACTTACAGCTCACTCTCAACTCTTTTCATTATTTTCTAACTATACATTTCATGTTTTATCACTATCAGAACCTATTCCATCATGTAGAGGAGTAAAAAACTAACATACAACTCTGCCTAAGGACCTAAAATAGCTAAAACAAATGGGATTAAGCTGATGAAACCGATATCAAAATTGACTGTATTGAAATCCATGAATCAAAGTGAACACAGGCGTAGATTCTATTAGATAATTTTTAAGTAAAATATAGAATCTATTTTATTTATTTCCATCAAATCTAAATTTTGATCAGTGAATTTGGAATCCATAAAATTTCTGTCCATGCCATCTGTTAGGGTTCGCACTCACGAAGAGCGACGAACATGGTTAAAGATGTATATGTTTCTTCACTTTCTGTTTGTTCTTTAAGAAAACAAACGTTTATATACGCTCATGAAAAAAAATAAGAACAAAATAGAAAATAATACAATGATTAATCAAGGACAAAGAAAAGCAATCGAAATGAAATAATAGAAACAAAAATATCAAAGAAAACAGAATAGATAGGACCGAGGTATATGTTATAGAAGTACACTGTAACACCATCATCAGAAATGCGATGTTTTTTTTTGGGTTCTTGAACTCAAAGTTACTGTATAAATTTATCTTATTAAAATAGATGATTTTACGAATCTATAAAGAAATTGAAAAAAGAGAAACTACACTTATAATTCTTTGAAACTTCTCCAGCAGTAGATATATAAGCAGATTAAGTAAAAATATTCATCATTCCTCTAAAATTATCTACAAATATAATAATTTGGAGTGAATCTTTCAAATATATTGTTTATTAGGAATAATATGCCGTTAAAATGCATTTTTTAGTCAATACATATCTGTTTCTATGGATAAAATGATGCCTATCAATGCACTTGAAGTCTAGCGAGACCATGCGCACTGGAAGAAAACCACGTTGCAGCGCTGTTTTGTATAGTTTGTTTTTTTGTTGGTCAATGGCATTGCCATATGAAACTAATTTTCTCATTCTAACTTGTCGTGGTTCGTCGTTTGATATACATCGCCACCAATGCCGAACAGATCTTTCGCATGTTTCATTGCAAACAACTTATAATCATTTTCCTCCCCTACATACAATCTCATCAACAGTGGTAAGTAAACCTTTATACTTTCATTCGTTGTAATTGATCGAGCGAAGTCTTTTTTTGCTAAATGTTTGTTTGTCCGGTAAAATTGTTCGATTGATTCAATCATTCGATTGTACTTTGGTCTGATATTTTGTTCCATCTCGTTGATTCTCTTTAATGTTTCTGTATCATCTTTAAACAAAGTCGTCAAATCATTCACATTTTCATTAATGATAGCTTCAAATAATGATCTTGAAGAATTTACGCTTCCACCATCTCCATAGACTATAAAATATTTTTGTGTTTTGATTTTAACAAGATACGATGGTCGATCACGTTGAATAATCTCAATAACATAACCTTCTCCGTGAGATTGTTCATAAGTATCTTGTAGTAATTTTTTGTGTGTTACATCGGATGGAATGGATTCAAACGGGACGAGATGATCGACAATTGTAGGGAAATGATTTTCTAGAAGAAATCTTTTCAATTGAGTACCGAACAAAGTCTGACCGTCGGCATGCGATCGAATGTTTAGAACAGTGAGTTGAGGTTGTGGATAGGAAACGAAAAGATGATTCGAGGGCGATATGTATTCCATATTGACAGTATAATTGAGATGAACCAAACGTTCGACTTCAGATTTGAATTCATCTGTAAAAATAACAATCAAAATGTACAAATTAAATTTTCATCTCATCCTTTCTTTGTCATTTCTGTTCTTGTCAGTAAATCATATTTTCCTCAAAAGAATTCAATTGATCATAATTTAAATTCCCAAAGCTCCTATTCTTATGAGTATCGAAGAATGAGAGAAATTCTCCCATGTTTTCATTGCTACTTTCGTTTGAGAATCAGTAGAGATATAGTCAGAAATTTGACGAGTTACAGGCAACAGTCTTGTCAGTTACTCATTGTCGATGTTTCCTTGAGAATGAGAACAATCAATCAATTACAATGAAAACAAGAAATTTTCTTTTTTCTGTTATAAGCTGTCATTAGACTGCGAATATTTTCGTACTACTCAAAATCATACTTAATATCTTGGTGATTTCGTCACAGCCTATTATTTTACCTATAGAATCTAATCAAAGTTTCGAACTTAATAAAGTTATAGCAGAGAATATAAGGTATCTTGAGCTATTTAGCCACTATAATTTTCGCATCTGCTAGCTTTAAGTTAATCAAGATAAATATGTTTCAGATAGCTAAAAGGTGATCTGTTCACGCTTGGATAGTCTGAGACTGCTTTCACTCATTTTATTCGAATCTTATGATGATAAATGTATTGAATCACATACCCACGAGTAATTGCATCGCTTCTAGAACTTGATTTGATGTTAATGATTGTTTTGTTTTAAGTCGTAGGATTTGTTCTTTTGAAGTTCTTCCATGTAAAAACGTTGATATCAATGTTCCATCCATTTTCTCCATTTTATCTCCTAATCGACCACGTTCATGATATTGTTTTTGACCAAAACCTTCTTCATAATCGAAAATTTTCTCTAATGGTAAAGAAACTAATTGTACATTTTTTGGATTCGTGATGTTGAACATTGTTCCACAACAATTCAAAGCTGCTGTACGAGTCTTGAATCTTGCATAAGAGCAAAGACGATAATTGAATATACGATAATTTATTCCATGTAAACGAATATCTTTGTAATAGAAAATATCATCCTGGGAACAAAGATTCATTAAATCATCATAGAGTGTATTGATATTTATTGTCATTGAGGTAGTAGCCAGCGTTAAAATAAAAAACTAGGAAAGTGAAATTCTGCTACTTATATTATCTTTCACAATGTAATTGCACAACGAATGGTTATTGCGAAACATCCTAGTAGAAATGAAAAAAAAAATGAATGTTGACTTGTAATATATGCACATGGTAATCTTCGTCATTCTGCTACCACGATGCATTCGCAAAAGAAGAAGAAGCAAGACTAATATGATGATGATGACGATAGTGTTGTGGTCAGAAATTGAAGATAGAGGAAGAGATTTTCAAGGCCCTAAATACTGAAAACTATTGTACCGAGTTGGAAAAGTGTCAGTCGATTCTCATTTGATTTATGTTATTTTTACACTCATTTTCTATTTTCTGAAAGTCAAGTACTCGTATTTTTTGTTAAAATAAAACTGGACAGCTTTGGTGCAAAATGTTATTCCTGATATTCTATTCTGAAAAGTCTTTCTCATTCAAAACAACAAGCTATAACCTCATCATCTATGGTAAACTATCAACATCGATTGTCAATACTATAGTGGGTAAGTTGAAAAAACTTAATTTCATTTGCCATTAGTGCTCTAAAGCAGTAAGAATGTGAACGTGGGATGTGGGTTTTATCTTCATCCACAGCCACACTCACGCCCAGATTCTTATCCGTCAAGGTGGTATCTTTGGAAAGAAAATTGGCAAATCAACGGCGACAAGTGAAACTGTCTACAGCTTCCTCACCATTTGCAGCATGAATATTTCTTGTTACTTCAGCTGCTGTTGAGCCTAGATCGAACTCGTAGAGCATACAGTGTCGAATACGAATTTCTTGTTCCTCCATTTAATTTGAAACAAAGCAACAACAGAATAGAAGATGATATGTTCATATATATATATATAACTATGATCGTATCACATATTGCAAAGTATGCAATAGAAGTACTATTACGTAATAAGAACAGAAACGAATGTATAGTTGTGAGATGAAAGAAATACACATACAACAGAAAGAGAAGGCAAACAAACACATACATGTATATAATTTGTAAGGAAGAATAAATCCTTAACAATATCAAAATAATCGAGAGACTATTCTCTTTCAAAAAGTATATTATCCGAGTTATCATGCAACATGAGAAAAAAATACAGATGTCTATTGTAACAGTACCCGAAATGTGCAGAACTTATGTCCCAATCCAATACAAATGTAGAATTGAACTATTGCCAGCAAGATGGGCGAAGATTATCGAAAACAATGGGGATTATATTGTTAATTGATGTTGCATATCTTTGTTGAAAAATAAATTTGTTGTTGAACCAAAAAAAACATGCAGAAGTTATGTGCCAATACAATACATTAAGATGTCACTTAGTGCTTTACAACTAATAGTGATTGCAGTACATAGCTGCATCATCAGAGTAAGGGCAGCCTATGAATCACTAACTTACGGATTATTTTCGATAATTTCGAATGCAAAAACATTACAAACACAGACTATTTTCAGACTTTATTTACAGCATTTACTACAGTAAAGATATCGTTTTTTCATCGTTTATGCTTTGAAGATATAGCATAAACGGCTCATTTTGATTGACTTCGAAACGCATATATTTAAAAAAAAAGAAAGGAACTGGTTTACTACATCAGTAAATATGTTGAAAACGAATTAAGATTCAAAAGTATTTAGTTATTTTTCACGTGGACTAAACCAAACTTGGATAAAGTAGATCAAATTGTGGCGATCGGTGAACTACAATATATGTAAACTAATCGCACTTCTCTCAATCTTACTCAGAATAATATCGATCTGACCTACTCACAACTAGGGTCCTTCTCTTGATTGTAATGAAACATAACCTACGATCCTACTTTGATTTTTATCAAATATGCGTTTGTTTTCTTGCCTTTTGTTGAAGTAGATGATGGCGATGTAGTTGAAGCTGTGGCCATCGCCATGTTTGTTATTGCTGTATTAAACAATAAATATTATTATGAAACATATGCAAAATAAAAGAAGTATATGATATAGTTAATATAGTGCTCTTAGTCGTTGTTATTACTTAAAGCAAAAGCGAATTCTTTGGTTCATCCGATGGATTGTCACCAATGTGATTTTCAAGAATCTAGTCTGCTCAATTATTCGGTCGAGTGAAAAAAATGTCTTTGAATGGATAAGCTACTCTTTTAGGCCTTTGTTGTCAAATCATGGTGACTTGTTTCCCCCCCAAAAAATCTCGTTTATTCTACAGTACCCGACAAAAGTATCCCCCCCATTGGATCTCAGTCAC